CACTTTTTCAGCTTCTCCCTTGGTGTAAGTTTGGGCTGGGAGAGGCAGGGCCCCAGGTGGGCTGTGGGGAAGCCGGTGCCAAGCCATGTCCTCCCGCCGCCTGTGACCTCGGGTGCCCAGGCTGCTGCCTGACCTCTGCTGGCTCTCTTGGGCTGGGCGTCACCACTTTCCTAGGAATCCCTGGTCACCTATCTTGAGAGAGCAAGGCATCTCTCAGCAGGGACCGCGCTGCTATTTCAGGCAGAGGGTTGCTGCCTCGCTGTCAGGCCAGGCTGCCTTACATCACTCTCTGCTGCAGGATTCGACTGGGTTTCGCAAAGGTCTAATTTTACGGTGCTGTTAACCGGGTCTGTCGTCTGGCAGAGGCAGGCCTTGCTGCTCCTGGTAGGCGGGCTGTGCTCCCAGATCCTCCCGGGATGCTATTTCTGCCCCGGTTCAAACTTCACTGACACCAGTTCAGACAGGCTCTTGGAGAGGCAGAGGGAAGAAGTGAAGGAGCAGTTTGCTTCTGAAGCTCAGATAACATGCCTTTTATTTTTCCAAAAGGGAAGGAGAAATATATATACGTCTGTACACAGGTATATGTTAATAAATATAAAAGGAAAGGCATGTGCAGGCAAAAAACAAAGCTAAAGTTAGAAAGTGCCTGTGTGCAGGATTCTGTGAATGACCCACCCACAATGGATGGTCTTTAGGGTGGGAGAATCCTTTAAGGTTACTGGGATAAGGGTGCTGGGAGGTGACCCAGGCCAAATAGGGAGACAGGCACAGGGAAAGTTTGTGTGCTGGATGACACAGGTCCTCAATGGCAGGACCTACAATTTAATCCCAAGTGTGCTCACTTCCAGGTCTTATTCCTCACACCCCAGAGAGGATGTGTCCAATCAACACTGTGTTACCTCTCCGCCCTTACAGACCCACCACCCAGGCACAGCCTCGGGCTTCACGCAGGGCAACTTAGGTTTTCTTTTAAGTCAGGGGGTGGGGGGTTTTCCGACACATCCCTTTGTGTTTGTGCTGTACCAGGCAGGATCCAGACCCCTGGCCCTCATTCCCAAGCACCGCCCCTGCCTACCCAGTGCCCTCTAGTTTGAAAGAGAAAGAAAAAGAAAACAATGGATTCAATTTGCTTCCTCGAGCTGAGGCCCAGAGCAGCAGTTAATCTTGTTAAAGTTTCTCCTGACCTGTTAGGCACGTGAAATGTGGACCCCACAAGTGCTGCCCTCCTTCCACCTCCATCCCTTTGGGATCCAGAATCCCTGCTCAGAAGGAGAAGGGGATTTACCTGATCCTCACACAGCTCCTCCTCTTGCCATGCTTTCTTCTTTTGTTCTCAGTGTTGGACCGTTGAGTTTGCTGGCTACTCAAAACTCTTTTTCTTTGCCCCCCTCCTTCCACAGTTCCCGCTTCCTACTGCCCACCCAACCCCTCCCCCAAAAGAATACTTGCATTTTCCCAACTTGAGGATTGCTGTAATGGCAAAGCTAGGTTTCAAGAAGTTTCTACACTAACACGGTTCTCCCTCAACATTTGTAGTCACAGGGCTCTAGAATATTGCAATGGTGAGAAGCCGGTTTCAGTAGTCAGGTTACCTAAATGGAAATCTACCTCTTCTCCTAACTGGCTGTGTGACCTTGGGCAAACTAATTGACTCCTCTGGACTTCAGCTTCCTCATCTACAAAGTTAGCGTAATGTAAGTACCTATCCATGAAATGAGAGCTCGTATGTGAAAAGTGCCTAGAACACGATTTGGTGTATAGTAAATGCTCAATAAACTTCACTCTCATTATTGGATATGATTTTCGAAAGATCTCACTCTTGACAGAAGACACTTAAAGAAGGCAGGAAGTAAAGTAACTGTTCCTGGCTGCCTCCAAGGTGCCAGGCACTGTGCCAAGTGCTTGCTTTGTGCCTGCATGTTTCATCCTCACAACCACCTGGGAGGCAGGCACCCTTGCCCCTATTTTACTGAGGAGGAAACAGAGGTGTAGAGAGTTGAAGCGACTTAGCCCAAAGCACTACAGGTCATCAGGTGGGCAGAGCAGAGATGTGAACTTGAGCACCAGGTGCCTGTTTGTTCTTCATCTCTTTGGACGGAGAAAAGGTGACTTCTGCAGAATATCCTCATTTCTTCCTGCCTCTCTGTGTGCTGACCATCAGCTACAGATTGAAAAGGATAAAGAATAAGTATGAATTTCATGTGGAACCCTGGCTTTGACCTAGCAGATCTGTTTTTCTTTTCATGCCAAATTATCAGACAGACCAGGCTTGGACTTTCTGCTGCCAGTCACTTGCTGTGTGATTTGAATCAAATGTCTTCATTGCTCTATCCCTTGGTTTGTTCATCTGTGAAATGGACATAATAAGATCAACATACTGCAATAAAATAACTATGCAGAAAGTACCTGGCATGGTTCCAGCTCATTAGGGACTCAGTCAACAGTGGCTGCATCCAGTAAGTTACCACATTCCCTTTTCCAAGTTGCTAGTCTGGTCTTCAGAAAGTGGGGGCCTGTTTGTGCTTTGGTAGAGCTTTGCCTCTCAAGGTGCTGGGGAGCCCATCTAGAATAGACGGGGTATCTTGAGGAAGAGTTAGACCCCCCTCGAGTCTGTTTCTCACACTTTGATTTCCTTTTCTGTGACCTACTTGGATGACCTGGTGGTGGTAAGAGCCAGAGGAGGTCTAGAATCACTGGACCTGTAAGCAGGAAAAAGTTAGCCTTGAGGCAGAGCATGCACCCCCTGGAACAGAAGCCAGACGGTGGTCACAGTGGAGTCCAGGTCACACACCTATCGTCACATGCCTCCTGCGCCTTTTCCAAATGTCCTCCAACTTCCACATTGACCCCCAGCAGCCACTGACATGGAGGCTGCATCAGCCTTGCCTGTCCACCCAGATGAAGGCAGGTTTGAGACTAGAGCTGTGGGGCTCAGGAGCGAGTGTGGGTCCTGGGTGGCCAGCCTGCCATGGGCTGGGTCAGACAGCTCGTTGTGCAACAGGGAAACTGAGGACCTGAGTCATAGAGGAGCTAAGAATTAAGCTATGTTCACAAACCACGCCCTCTCAAATGAGCCGGGGAGATCAGTTGGTTCATCACACCCCTGGCAGCATTGGGATCTCCAGCTTCTAAAACATCCTGATGCCCAGGCTGCATCCCAGGGTTTCTGATGTTGTGGGTGTGGGGTTGGCCTGGACACTGGTGGTTTCAAAGTCTTCTCGGGTAATGTGGAAGACCATCAGTGGGGAGAATCACTGGTCCAGTGTGATGTTTCCCTCCTCTACAGCTGGGAAAATTGAGGCCCAAAGCGGGAAGTGTTATGTCCCTGCCCATGGAGCCGGTTACTGGCTGAACCTTTAGAGAAATTTACCTGCCCTGATTCTGAGTTGCTGAACCCTGACTGGGAAAAACCCTCATTTCATTGTTAATTCCCCTGCTGACACCAAACCTCTCAGTGCCCTGGCCCTGACCTTCCATCCTTCCAGAGCTATTCCTGTGTGTAAAGCCATACCCTCTCCTGGCATTGCTTTAACGTATGAACATTCCTATGGGGCGGGGGGTAACACATTGAGTTCTATGCATCTGATTTTAAATGCAACTCTCCAAGTACCTGGGAAGGGAACCTGTCAGAGCAGGAACAAGGGGTATTAAAAAGGGATGTCCTGGCTCAGTGGATTGAGTTCCAGCCTGCAAACCAAAGGGTCACCAGTTCGATTCTCAGTCAGGGCGTGTGCCTGGGTTGCAGGCCGGGTCTCCAGTTGGAGACGTGCAAGAAGCAATCACATATCCATGTTTTTCTCCCTCTCTTTAAAAATAAATAAATCTTTTTTTAAAGGAAGGTCAGCTCTGAGGCATCCCATCCCCACTTTGCCCGGGGGTAGTCCTGCAGGGAGGGGTGTGCTCCTGTTATTTCAAGTCCCCCCCCCCCCCCCCGTGATCACTATGAAACCAGCACTAGCTGCAGGTGCCTCGTATGAAGAACAGAGATTCCCAGGTGCCCCAAGTAGGAGGACTTGCTCTGCAGGCAGCTTGCACCTTGTCTGTCTGCGGCCAAGGACTCAGAAAACCTGCAGATGCCATTTCTCTTCTCACCTGCCACCACACCTTCCCTGGACTTTCATTTCTTTTCCTAATGCTCCCTCATCTTTCTTGATACACTGAGGGCTTTGCATCATGCCTTGATGCGCTTATTGTCAATGTCGAGAACTGACCCGTCGATCTTGGCCCCTTGGCTCCTTCAAAGATCTGAAATTGGGATTCACAGGCTCTGAGTTCCAGTCCTGGCTTGGTCTCCTCTGAGCTCTGTGTCTTGGAACTTCTGACTCAACCACTAGGGCCTCAGGGGAGAGGGATTCAGCTGTGGTTACATGCAACCTCCCTATTTCACGGGTTGTCACAGGAACCAGGTGAGACAATGGTGGCAGAAGCTGTTGGCCAAAGTCAGAACCCAGTCCACACGTCAACAATAGTAGGAGGAGCTAAGAGGTGAGAGATGTGGGGGATTTACCCAATGAAGGTCATTCCTGGGGAGGTGCCTTCATTTCATTATTCATACTGCAAATGATAAACAGTGATTGAGTTAGCAAATCTTTTGATATTGGTGGCCTCACTAGAGTCCTTTGCTGCTGGGACTTCTTCACAGGTCTGCCAACTCCTACCACTTACTTGCTTCATGACCTTGACAAAATAACTGCCCCTCTCTGGGCCTCAGTGTTCTCAGGTCGCACAAGGAGGAGTAGGGGTGTAATAGGGACTTTCACATTGTGCCCACAGTTTTAGGGGGCCCCTGAGAAGAGGCAGAAGAGGACATCTATGTCTCCCCCACCTTCCTGTCACCTTATTCTGCTTAAACTGTGGAAGTCTGCAAGATTCCATTTACAGGAATATGCAGGTCCCTGAGTTTCAGAATCTTAGTGGACGTGCACTGACACTGGGAATGACTGTGACTTGTGTCAGGAGTGATAATGGTAGTGCTGTGTATTTGTGAAGATCCTGATCCGGTGCAAACTTAATCACCAACTCACATGATGTTGCGGAAGTGAAGGGAACCAGGTTGGCTCAAGTGATTGTGGTGACAGACATGTATTAGCTTCAGAAGCTACTGGGGTGGCCCATTCTATGCCAGTACAGTATAAAAAAAAAATCCTAATCTGTTAGAAATGCGTGCTAAATTATTGATTTGTGAAATGATGTTATGTATGTTTTGTTTGTTTAAAGTTTTCCAGAAAACAGAAACGTGGAGGGTGGGGGTGCAGATGAAAGAAGACCGGCATCATTGCAACCAGGGGACAGACATGTCGGGCTTCCACACATTGTTGTCTGTCCTTCTGTGTGTGATTGAAGAGCTCCGTAATTAAGAGCTCCTCCCGTTTCCACGGGAGGAGTGGAAGGCTCGGGTCTCTGTGTGTGTCAGTGAGCTGATAGGTTTCCAAATACAGAGGCAGCCACTTGGAGAGGGTTTAGGACGCTACCAAGGTTGCACAGAGATTAATGAAAAGAACACAGGCTTCAGAATCTAGGAGACTGACCATCCTGAGGAAGCCCAAGGGGAAGGAGAGGAAGGCTGTAAGGGACGGGCAAGTAGGAGGGCCAAGTAGAAAGAGCCTTGCTGGGCTTTTGAGTGAGGACACTCATTGCTGTGTGGAATTGTCCCACACATTGTGAAACACGTAGCATTCTTGGTTCTGTGCCTAAGAACCCCCCCCAGAACCTGCTAGTCATTGTGACAATACAAAACATATTGTGATGATACGCACATACACACCTACACACACACTCACATTTCCACATACGCCTATTTTTCATTACTAGCTCCTTATTTCTTTCCATCTCTAATAGCCTTGGGAGTCTCCTAGAACTTTCTAGAGCCCTGGTAGAATAGCCTGCAGTTGACTGATCTCGGGAAGAGCTGACACCGTTAGGAAACAGGGAAAAGGAGTGTGTTTCCTGAGGAAGTATTTTGTACTGGTTGAACCTGGGACTCGAGAGTCAGCCTGATCCTGAGTCAGGCGGCCTGAATTTGATTTCCTGACTCTCCCACCTGCTAGTTGCATGACCTTGAGCAAGTTACTTAATGTCTTCAAGCTTCGCTTTTCCCATCTGTAAAATGCAGATAGCACTGGCTCCTACTTCCTAGGGTTGTTTTGAAGATTAACTGGGCCTCCATGTGGAAAAATGCTTAGTCATAGAATCTAGACCATGGGTAAGCACCCAGTAAACGTTAACTCATATTGGTATTATGTGTGCCCAGGCCTTGCCACACGTCATTGCAAATGCTCTCAGTATCTCTCTGAGTTAAGACATGCTTCTCTCCTTTGCAGAGGCAGGAATTGCCTTCCCCTCCCTTGCCACTCAGGAAAGATTTATTGCGATGATCTTAACGTAAAACAAAACTTAAAGGCAAACAGAATAAACTCTTTATTGTTACATATTACAGAAGCATTGAGTGCTCCTTGTAGAGAATCTAAGAAATATAGATAAAAACAAGAGGCAAAGTAAAATTTATTTAGCCCTTCCCAGGCAAGTATTTATTGAGTGACTGACTGCTGCATGCCAGGTATAGTTTGGGGCCTGAGGACAAAGCAATGAACAGAAGAGGAAATGCCCCTGCGTTTGGGAGTTTATATTGAGGTGGAGGGTGGGAGAGGAAAGGTGAAGACAGTATAAGTGAATATAAAAATATATCCCATAGTATTAGGTGAATGTTTATGAAAAAGAATAGAGGAGGGATTCTAGGGGTCCCTGTGGGGGTGGTGCATGAGGAGTGAGATTTAAACGGGTTGTCAGGGGAGGCAGCAATGAGCTGTGGCATTGGAGTTGAGCCCCAAGAGCAGCCCAAGGCCATCCAGGGAAGGTCTCCGTGCACAGGAGAAGGAAGAGCAGTGCTCTAGTAGCTGGGAGATGTCAGTTCTAGGCCATTCAGTCCTTAGCTTGTAGTGTGACTTTGGACAATTCAGTTATGTCTTGGGCTAATTTTCCTCATCTGAACAGAGTGGGTAGGGATGGGTTTATCTTTGTCCTAGAGAACCTTCTAGCAGAAATCTCCTAGGATTTGATCATTCCAATCAGCACTGTCCAAATACAAAATTGCAAAGTTGGCATTAGTTCCGTGTTCTTCCTTTTTGGTGTATTTTCCACCACTAGGTGGTGCCTGTGCCTGTCTCCCTGAGGGGCTAAGCGCCCACACACTGGGCTTCCTCTTCCCCAGCAACACTCATTCACAGAAAAGGACATGGTGTTCCTTCTTGCTAAGGTATCAGTGACTGGTAACAACTCAGAACGTTACTCTGCCAGGCACATGCATACTTTAATATCTCCCCCAAAACACTTTTGACTCCAAAAGCAAAGTACCAATGCATAGAATTTCATTCAAAGACTGACTGAAGACATTATTTAGGTAATATTGGTACTTCCCAATGGCTGGAAGCCATCTCATCAATATTGTTGCTAATAATAGCTGTCATAAATATCTAAAAAACTCATTAAGTGACTTTTCCAGTGATCACTTACTTGGCTAATGGTTAGAATACTCAAATTTCATAATTTCTTACTAAACAAAGGCCATTGCAGAGAAGTTTTGACGTGAGAATGGGTTACTGGCCTTTTAGTCTTGCTAAGCATCTTAATCAGATCATTTCATGAATTACAATAGTAAAACTCTGGAGTCTATAGCCATGTGTTAACCTATTTCCCTTCTGGGAATCCCAGGTATTGTCATCCATGAAGTACCTCTTGTTCCCCCTGTTCCCTTCTGTTCTTTCTCTCTTCCTACCCCTTATAACCACTGCATTAACTTGACCACTTAAATTTTTCTTCAAACAAAAGAAAGAAAATTTGTCTTTCAGTATTATTTACCACAAACTCAGGGTCCATAGAACCTGGAAGAGTAGGAGACAGACGTGACCCTGTTTCAATTTTAGAGAACATAAGAATGTCTCAGGTTCAAGTCCACTTTTAAGAAACAGAAAGTCTAGTAGGTGGGAGGTCACTGCTGGCTAGGACCTAAGTAGGTGAATGGCGGGAAGCATGTTACTAAATGCAGAACCCTAGTTCAGCCATTTTTACCTTCGGGGAGTTCACGGTCTAACCTGTGCCTATCACCTTAGCCGTCAAGAAGATATTTCTGTATCTGTCCCATATCCATCTGTTTTTAAAATTCCTATTGCTGTCTAAACATGAAATGTGGCTTGGCAGAATATGACGAAATGTGTTTGTATGGAAGGGGTTACTTCCCCCGATGGGATTGAACATCTTTCAGCTACAAAAGCTGACAAGGAAATGGAAGAAGGTAGAATAACAAGCCAATCAGGTATAAGTAGGCCTTGCTTTAAGAGATGCAAAGTAGAAGACAGAAAGCATAAGAAATAAATACACGTTGTATTCTGATTTGTGATGTAACATTCATGTACGTCTGAAGAACCAAGGTGTGTGAGTGAGAAGCACTCATCTAAGCCATTTTTTTCATAAATGAGGAACTAAGGGTTGGCCAGAAGTGGGTTGCCCAGATCAGTGATGAAGCTGGGTAAGAGCCTCTGTTCTCTGAGTATTAGGCCAAAGTGAGGTCTGCCTGTCTCCTGACTTTGCACCCTTTCCCATGGAGTAGTTACCATCTCTCTGCTGATGAGCATCATTTATGTCCAGACTCTCATGGGCTCCAGACCATTGGTCCAGCTATCCACTGGAAATGTGAACATGCACTTCAAACACAATGTGTCCAAAGCTCAGTCACCTTTCCTCCAACACGCTCTGTGTCCTCGTGTAGTGTACCTACTGTCGATATGCCACCCACCATATTCAATCCGGCATCAGTTCCTGTCTGTCTTGCCTTCCTGACAATTGTATAATCTTCTTTCCTCTTTCTAGCTTAGGCCCTCTTCATATTTGGCTTTGACTCTTTCCTTAGTATTATGGTGCCTCTTTTGAGCTTCAGCCCCTGTACCCCTTCAATCTACCCTTCAATATGTGATAGTCACATGTTCCTAAAATGCAAATTTCACTGGTCCTTTGATAGCAGTGGAATTATTTATATCACTCCAAATAACTTAAGCTTTCTTTATGCCATTTTTAAAATTTGATGTGCCTTCCATATCCTCATGCAGCATTTTACAGAACACCTAAGCCTCTACAGGATCCTGCTCCAGGTCCCCCTCTTCTGGGAAGCCCTGCATGACTCCTCTCCAAGTACAACCTCCCTTATCAAGCTGTATCCACTGTATAATCTGCACACATGTGTCAAAAGACTTGGAATTCTTTCTATTGCATTTCATTGTGTGCTATTTGAGGTCATCTCAACTTCTCCACTGCCTAGCACAGTGCCTGGCTTATAAAGAAGTTATATGTAATTTTGCTCAATGAATACATGACTGCTAAAAAGAACCAACTAAATATCTAACGATTCTGGAAGAAAGAGCTCAGGAGCCTCAGGCATGTTGCATTACGTAACCAAAGCACATGACCTACCCTGTGGGTCACACTCAAAAACATTACACAGTGGTTAATTCCATTTCCCCTTGAGCAAAGGAGTCAGAAGAGGGAAAAAAAAATCTGGTCTTCCAAAACAGAAAGGGGAGGAGGCAGTGTATTTAAATGTCTCCTCAATTCACACTTCGGCCTTTTTAATCCAAGCCTCATTTTAGCCTTGGTCTACCCTTCCTAGCCCCTTCACTGTTTGCAAAGCATTTGTTTTGTGTGTGTGCTGCAGCAGATAATCCTAAACTTCACTCTCCTCTCGGATTCCCCACTCTCCCCCTTATCAGGTTCTCACTGGACCTCAAGGGTCCTGGTGTCATATCTGTTGCCTGGGTTTTCATCCATTTCCCTTATTCTTGATAGGAGGGCCTTTCCGTCTGCTTCTCTCGATCTCGTGAGACCTTAGGGTGACCTCAGGACCTGGGATCTTCTATCCACTGTTTATATACCCTTGGAGGGAGAGTACACATTCCCAGCCATAATAACAGTAATAAAAGCAGCTAGCTTATAATGAGCACTTACTATGTGCTGGCTCTGTGCTGAGTGCTACACTTTAAACCTTCTGAATTAGATTTAGAAAGTTACAGGATTCACTGAATGCCCCACAGCTAAAGGGTGGCAGAACCAGGGTTCAAATCCAGGACATTATTATTTTCTCTATCCA